GAGTCCTGTCCAAAAAACAGCGGAGATGTCGCTGCTTTTTGCATATTTCTAGGAACGTGATAGAAACTTTCGTTCGAGAACTTTAAATTCAGCTTAAAAACATAGAAAACCGACTATTTCAATTTTTTCCTCATCCAACTACCATTTGACCGGATAAATTTGATAACTTTGACGTCGTCAGTTTACAAAACAGAACCGAGTACATCGTCAGTCAAGGTGAATTCTCTTTTAGACACAAATTGTTTACATTATATACAAATTCAGCCATGTGTTCTTCCGTTAAATGAATCGTCAAATTTCCCCTCTTAAATTTAAATGTTTGTATTTAAAGCAACGGCTTTGAACCGACTGACCGAAGTTATGTTATCGATGAGGTTTATCTAGAATTTAAAAAGATTATTAACTTTAAGTCCTTCAGTTAATTGGAATAGACGGTAGCACCTGGTCTACTAACGCGTGTGCAAAATACTCGTTGCTCGGAAATCTGATAAATCGAAGATTACCATTTCGAATTCTGGAGCCGAGTACCTTATTGGCCTGTCTTCACGACTTATAAAATTTTTTAAAACTGTCGACATATACAATAAAATGTAAAAGAACTGCAAATGACTGAAGATACTTCAATGCAAATGACCTTGGTGGTCGAAACACTTAAATAAACAAAATTAACAATAATCACAATTAATAAAATTAACACAATAAATAAATGTCCGCTGGATTGCGTTCAAGGCCTGCAACGCCATCTGCATATCGAAAGATATTATGGTTCATCCCGACGTGGAGCTCTCTATTTTCCCGTAATGTTGTTCTCATCAGTTTCTTCCGCACTAAGTTGAACAACATCGGTGAAAGTCCATCTAGCTGCCATAAGCCAGTTCCAACTTGGAAGACTTCAGATACTTCTCCTTGTATTAAAACTCGCACTTAATGTTATTTGTACACAAATGCCTTCGTCAATCTCCACAATTACCTTGAAAATTCCCAGTTCAGTCCTGATTTTCCGAAGACTGTATATATATATTAACTTTCCGTAATATCTAAAAAGTGAAACAAAAAGTCATGAATACATTAGGATAACTTCTTGTTCTATCTAGTCCAAGTGACAATTGTAAAGGAAGTCCTGTTTTCTAATAAACTACTGGAACATTTAGCAAAGTTTTCTTTTCAATTTGGTTTTATTTTGTCGAGATATATTTTTTACAATACACTACTTATAAACTCCATTAAACTCCTCTCATTCTATTTAAAAGCTACTCCTCGAAACGGTTGGTAAAGTTCCAGCAAGTTCTTAAGTATCCTCGATCCTCGACTTCCTCAGGAGCATTATCAGTTGAAAACATTCCCTCAAGGGCTGGCGTAAATCAAATGTAAAACTGTGGAGATAAAGGCCAGGAGGGTTGGTCTATTGTCCACCGAGCTCCCTCTGTTCGGCCAGCAGGGGGTCGCCCCACACAAAAAATTTTTAGATGTTTTTTTTTTTTGGAGTAAGCTATTGTTCGCTTCTTCTAGAATTATAAGGCAGTCCGTCAATAACTTAATATATTTTTTTTTTTCAAATAACATATATTTATTGCAAGAGATATTCGTGCCGTAATTTTCTGAACAATGATTACTCATTTACTAATAACCAGAAATCAGATTTGTATTCAGTTAAAACCTACAGAATATGCCCCCCCCCCCAAAAAAAAAACGTTAAATATATACCAAAATTTGCATTAACAAACATAAAATGAGCATCGAAAATATCTTCAAATATGTAATACGAGAGCTAAAATATACAATTTCACTATTGTGCCTACAAAATGTTTTTAATTAAAAAAGAAATTGGAGAAAGAAGTTTTTTGTAAATAATAAATAATAAAAAAAAATTAGGATTGTTGACCCTGCCCCGTGTACTTAAATCGGGAATCGGGATGTGATTTACCAGGATGTTAGTAGCCCCTCTGAGGCTATGTCCATGGACGGTCTGTTTGGGGGAAAGAAATATAGGTTTCCGTTCGCCTGCTGACTCTGAGCAGCCATAATACATGGATCTAGACCGATTTGTCACTGTTCTTGAACCTAAGTGAGTCGGTGTGAAGGACACTGCCACATTCGTCCCAACGGGATCGGCTATGGAGCTACGCGGGGCCTGCCGCTGCACCATGGAGATCATGGTTCGTAACAACGTGAGGTTGGGTGACCCCCTCCATGCTATCTGTGCTCACGCAAGCAATGTACTTCTGTAAGGAGACCATATCTCGCGGCCATAGATCTTCATGGTTTGTAGCGCCAACCGAAAAAAATAATATGTATATTTATATTCATTAATATTTAAAAATATAATTTGAAATGCTTTTAAAGAACTATAATATTAAAGTTGTGCAAAATGATGCAGTTTAAATAATAAGAAATACTTTGAAATATTTGGCAGACGGCCAAGATAGAACACAAAGTCCTCTTATTCAGCAGCAGTCATCCTCATCGCAGGTTAAAACGGCAGTGGCCCCGCGACGTTTTGTAACTTGTATATATTGGAGTTCTGGCAATGGCCAGATTCTCCACTCAAGTCATGAGTGTATGTGGCTGTAGCGCCCTTACTCAGCCTTCGCTGGCTTTTAATACCAGTGAAGTGGTTGAGGGAGAAGCGCAGGGATCTCCTAAAGTCTCGCTTTTCCCTCCACAAGTGGGGGACAAGTCTGGTCCGGTGTTCCTCAGGTCCATTGTAAATAGTGTATACAGGTATACCTGTCTCTAAGATGTTTATTTTTTAAAGAACATTTTAATTCTTTTTTATTTTTAGTTAATTATTATTATTTTCTTCCCTCATTGTGATATTTTATTTTGTTCTTATTTCGCTGTATATTATTTTGTAAGTACTTTATTTATTTTTGATTCTGTAAATATGGCGTGAATGTGCTCTCTGAACTCTGTCATAAGTGTCCTTAATTGAGACAGATTGTAATATTTATCAATAAACAAGCAATCTAAACAACAAATTTGAAAAACTTTAACGTTAACATCATATTGATAAAAGTTGTTTTCAAACAGTTAAAATTAAAACTGTTTTAACCCCTGTGATCAAACATGTACTGAAGACTGCCCAGGTACTGAAAATTTAGGGGAAAAAAGACATCATGCTGTTCGATATAATTAAAAAAAATAATAATAATTTAAAAACTCTCCTGAATTTTTAAAATCTATCAGTAAAATTGAATATTTTTATTTTAATAGATTATTTTAGTTTCTTTGAAAGCACTTTGATTACAAAATTCGTGAAGACTTTACGATTATTGATACAGAGTGGAGCTTTTGTAATCATGTTATAGGTTTGAGCAGAAACTTAGTTTTCCAAAGCCTATAAATATGACCTAACTTTGAGTGGTTTAATAAATTTAATGTGACTTCTAGCAATTACTAAAGGTTAAGTAACTAACTTCACCAACTAGTAGTCGGTAATTTAATTTTTTCAACTTCCGCCCACTTGTAGATAAATATAGTTAGTTGCTTATCGTTAACTTGTACCTCCTAGTTTACAGGTTGCAGAGAGCAGCTACTCAACTATTAATAACTTATTTACTTAACTTAAGAAGTTATTAAGTACTGCTCAACTCTGATATGCCACTCACCGTACTGTATTAGAAATAGAATCCATGTTTTTCATTAACCCTGCTTAGGCAGATAGTTAGTTTAAGTTATGATTTACCATTCGAAATTATTGCACTTGTGAATATAAAATGAAATGTCATATTTAAGATACGTTAAGGTGAGAGAAAGTGAAGAAAATATGTTTCATCACAATCAGTTTAAATTAAACATAACATCAGTTTTGATCACTATAAAATTATAATAATTCTTTTTTTTTTAAGTTATTAGGCAAATATATAAATTATTATAGGCAACAGAAATCTAAATTATAACTTTAGAAAAATCAAGAGTGCAAATTCGAAGAGATTCATCCAAAAAAAAAAAAATAATAATAAAATAAAAAATAAAACGTTTATAGTTTTTTGTGCATAAGGTAAAGTTCTGATTTAGTTATAATAATAATGTGGGTTATACACATTTCACCAAAGTTTTATTATTTTCACAACCATGGAACTTGACTCCATTTTTAACACTTCAAATAATTAACATTCAATGAACTGTTAAATTGTAAAATAATAATGTTCAATAAGTCTTTTAGATTGGCTTTAAAATGTTGCCGTGGAAGCCTAGGTTGAGGAAATAAGAAAAGTTTGGTGAAATGTGTACAGCCCATATTATTTTAGATAATTGAAAAGAAATTGATTTGAATTCAACAGATAACATTTTGTTTGTTTTAGTTGTATTTGAGTTCTACCAATCGGTAGTTTCTTTCATGTTGTTCATGTCATGTTACCAATGTCACATTTACTTATTGTATTTTCATGTAATACAGTTGTCAATTTCAAAATAAAAAAAATTAAAAAAAGTGTTTTAGTTGAATAAATAATAATTAACAGCCTTAAATCTAGAACATCAAAGAATACACATATATTTTTATTTCCTTGGTTTGTTTTAGGGTGTGAATGATATTACATTTATATTCAGCCGACTAATTATTCAGTTCTTTAAACACGATGAAAGAAGTTGATAAACATGATTAGACAATAACTTTTTTAATTTAAAATAATTTCTTTATTTTTCTTAAGAATTCCAAAAAAAAAAAAAAATCCGCCAGGGCTTCCAATGAACTAAGGTACGTCACTCATTAGGTTATAACTTGGTATTCATGAACTTCTATAACCTTTTCCTCCATTTAATGGGAAACAATTCTTCTTTTTTTCTTTTTCCGGTAACATATTTTTCGTTCCAAAAAAGCATTGGCTTAGATAAAAAACTAAATTAATATTCTTCTTATAGAGATATAACTTACTCCTAAGATTGAATGTAATAGCTGAATATTGTATTCTTATACCTAGGTAAATCAAACTATATAGGTATGCTGTTTGTTTTATCAGCATAAAGAACATTTAATATTTGAATTAGAAAAAAAAAGATGAGATAAAAACGCTTTATTCTTCAAATAAAAATGTTCTAATGTATAAGACAGCTATAAAACATTCTCCTGCTAACTACAAAAATTAGAGTATAGTATATAGTGTAGTATTATATTATGATCACAAATAAATTAACAGTAATTACTTCATTAACACTGGTAACTAAACTTATGTAACAACGTTAACATAACACATATTCATAAATAGTAACGATATACACTTGAAATTGGATATGAATAAATACATCATCCTTATTGATATTGACGAATGGCCACCATTTGAAAATAACAAGATTGCTTACAGTTTTTCAGGCATTCTCAAAAACTGAATTACTTATACTGTGTTATATAAATTATATTATTATTAAATCACGTTTAGGAATCAACACAATTTTAATGATTTATAAAAATTGTTCTATGAAATAACTAATTAAGTTCAAAAATAAATTTAAATATATAAACTTACTATTGATTACAAAATTAAAAAAAAAAGATTAGTTTCTGGAAATATAAAAGTTATGAAATTTCTAATGAAACTTGAATATACTGTTAATAAAATTTAAGTTAACTGTAAAAAAGGATGGGAGCATACAATTACAGATTAATTACAAAATGTAAGTCAACAAAATCACAACATTTTAATGCAAGAGCAAATTTTATAATAAGAAAGCAATAATATATAAACATACCACTCATAGATAAATATTATGACATTATGCTTTGAAACTCTTTTTAACAACGAATAAATATTAAGAATAGAGTTTTTATTGAACTATGTAATACATACGTACTAAATAGTGGTATATATCTATTTTATACTGTACAGTTTTCATATTATTTATATGATCGGAATACATGAATATAAATAAATATGTTAGATTTCATTTTAATTCTAGTCTAGTAATAACAATAGAATTAACTACTGATTAAAATGAAGGCTTAAATATAAAGTTATTTTGTACATTGCACTTAAGTGGTAAATTATTACAATAATTGAAAAATAAATTATCTTTCATTTTTAGTAAAAATGGGGATGAATACTTAGTTTAATCAAGATAAAATAATTTTTCGAAAAAATACATTAAATATGTATAGAATCATGTTCAGTTTTTCTAAAATTTTAATTATGTTGGTTTACTGAAGTTGAAAATTATTTGATCCAGCTAAAATAGAAAAAAACAACATGAAATTATTCTGTAATTTTTCTGATTCAATTATTTGATAGATAACGAGATATTCTACTCAACTATTCAATTATAAAAATGATGGTTCTTATCAATAAAAATAAAAGGATTATATACTTATGTTATGATTACATTTGGTGTATACAAGTTTTTTAGTTAGAGCCAAATATTTACAGTATACTATAAACTAAATTTGGTTGTACTGGCACTTACTTAAGGATATACCAGAAAGGTAGGTGGGGAACCTGCGGCATCTGTGAGCAAGATGCGAGCCTGGAGGTCGCATGCGTCCTCCAAATGTTTTTGTACGATTTTTATTTATTTATCTAGAGATGGAATTAATTAATATTTAATAATTTAGGTTAAGAAATTTCGAAAACTAATGGAATTAAGTTGAATATATATTCATACGGGTGGAGTATATTTAGTGATAAATAAATATAAAAACAGTAAAATATTTATAAAATGTTGCGGCATCCAATACAACAGCCTTACTGTGGCCCCTAATGATAAAAAGATTTCCCAACTATACTATCGTTGAATCCAAGAACTATTTTTTAAGAATACTTTCACGTAATATATAAAGTGTTTCCTAGGAATAAATTACTTTTCTAATCTAAGCAATGGAATTAGATGGACTGCCTGCCATCATATTTATGATATGACAAGCATTTCATTAAATGCATATAAAATTTTAATGAAAAGATCTTTTTCTATTGTTGGACTGGTAGTCAGAGACTTACGATTTACGAAATATGGATACTTGTTTGATCACTTTAGAATGATCCAATGTGAATGGAAACGTTGTTAAAAACACGAATAAATGGAAAACGTCTAAGGGCAATTTATTCCTGGTAACAACTTACGTGGAATGATTGAAGTATATTTATTAAATTAAATGTAAGTTTATTGTGTTTTGCAGTTCCTTACGCATACGCGCCTGCCTTCCGTACACTTTCTACTTTTTGGTTTTCCATTATTGTGTACTATAACATCTATATCATAAATGGAGAAGGCCGTTTGCTGCATGTTAAAATTTACAACAACAATAATAATGGTAACATTTGGAAAATAACAAGCACGCTGTGTGCTCTCATAACAAGAAATTAAATTTACAGCTGGAGGATTCCCCTCTCCTCGAAATCTTTGATAACAATCTTCATGATGTTTCGGTACGCTTCCGTATCTGTGGGCACAAGGCCTTTGGGTATTTCCGTGCTCTCTTCACTCATCTTCAGCATTTCCTCCATGTCTGGAACATCCTCTTTTCGGAGCAACATTAGCGGGAGGAGAGAAACAGCCGAGCCCAAACCATACAAAGCGGCCTTCGTAAGACCTTGATTAATATCCTCCATGCTCGGAAGTTCGCCCTCATATTCAAAGCACCGGAGGTTGGTAATGAGAGAATCGTAGTAGATCTGTAAAAGCTCATTCTTCCTTCGTCGGACTTCTGCGCTTGGGCTGGTGTTAAGAAAATATTGAAGATCATAACCCGGGGTATTGTAATATGACATCTGAAAGTCTATAAACCTGAAATGATAAATATGAATTAAAACAATATAAATTTAAAATAATGAATGTCTATACATAAGTAATGGCAGAGCTGTAACTAGAGAGGGACAAAGAAAGCACTTGCGTGGGTGGCAAACATCGATAATGTTTTTATTACAGTAAGTAAAAATGATTCTTTTCATGTTTCGGTTATTTCATCTTAATTCACTCATTGACAGGAATTAATACATTATCTAATGCACCGATGTAAAATTATTATTTCACTGGGAGGTGGCATGAAGTGAAGAAGGGGGCGGTAATATTACGTTTGCCTCATCTGGCAGTAATCTTAGCTCTGTCTACTGACCCAAAGATTGTAGCACTCACACCGATCGCCGATCTAGGAGCAGAAAAATAACTTTCAAAATATGTGAAATGTAATATATCATCATCTTTATAGATAGTTGGTGACCTAAAAAGCGGCCTAGTAAATTTTCACAGTTCGTTTAAACTCTCACAGTAGAGTACGGAAGAGGGAGGTTTGGACGAGAAGGCCTTTATTTTTACAAGTTAACAAATAGTTCCAGCATTACGTTATTCATAGATTAAATCAGAGTATGTGTGCGTTATTGCTTTTGAGAACTCAGTTAATTATCTTTCTTTCACTGGGTTAATTTAGGTTCAACCAGTTTGATGTTCGTTAAAATTGCATGTAAAAAGATGGCTTGAATAAATTCTTTGATATACATAAATATCGCTTATATGGTCTGTCAAATACCCTTCCAGGTTTCCCGCCGCTACGATTCTTTTTCCACTTTGTAGAATTTTTTATATTCTTTAAAGTAATATAGATCAAATTTTGCGTAGCTTTTCGCTTAACAAAGTTTTTTTTTATTTTTATTTCATAAAACTATAACTGAAATTGGAATCATTTTTTTAAAATCTTAATAAAACGTTATGAACTATATAAAAAGATGTATAAAAGTTTGAAAGAGAATGTTGCCCTATTTACATAAAAAATAAATGAGCTTTGAAGAAATAAATCATTTCTTTTATTTTTTAGAAGAAATGTGTCATAGCCGAGGTATATTTTCTAGACCTGATAACAATTACCATTCTTTTCGAGATTTCAGGGAAACAGGAATACCGAATAATGTTTTTTCGTTGCTTCGAAAAACTAATAAATGGAAAGTAAAGGATATAATATAGTAGGGGTGTCTAGAGAGGAGCCCGCATAGCGCAAGTTGCGTCAACCAAATTTAGAGGAGTTATGGATTGATGGATATTTTCAGACTGTGTAGACAAGAAAAGAAAAAAAACAAGGAAATAAACGGGAAATTTTAATTACAGTTAGGAAGCGACCATGAGGGACTTCAGTCAGAGAGTATCTTTTCTACGGATGTCGATATTAAGGATGAGGAAATCAATAAAATTAATTTGAACACAATATTTTTCTCTTATTTATGTTATTGTTAATTTTTTCTCTGGAAACATATATAATTTTACCATAAATTAATTTTATATTAAGTAGTTTAGTCCATAAAAGTCTTATATCTTATTTAATAGTGACGAATACATGATTTCCAATCGAAAATTATGGTTACATATAATAATTTATTTTATTAAAAGTTCTAAGAATTATGTGTATTTTTTTGTATTTTTACCGTAAATTAAAGCTATATTAAGTAATCTAAACAACAAAAGCATCTTTTTTATTGATTTGTGACGAATACATGATTTCCACTCGAAAATTATGGTCATCATATAAATTAATTTTTTTTCACTATTTTTCAAAAAAAATCAGGAATTTTTTTTTGTTTTTTTACCATTTATTAATATTATATTAAATAAATTTAAACTATAAAAGCCTTATTTATTTTCTTTATGACAAATATATGATTTCCACTCGAACACTATGGTCAATGATTTTTTTTTTTTTATGAATGAAGATATCATAATAATGTAGTAAATTTTAAGATTTTATTAATCTAAGCTCAAGAGCTCAATGTCAAACATAAAATAATACATATGGATAATATAATGACGGATATGTTTCTAATATGACGGTGATGTCATTAGTCACCATTGCGTTATTAAATTAAATGAATAGCTTCATAGAAAAAAAGTCAATCTATTTTATGCAAATTTGAGTTCGAATTTGTTCTCATGTTTTTGACTGAAGTTACATCGAAATATAATTTAACAAACGCGTTTCGATTATTTACTCAGGTAATAACGGAATATTTAATTTTTTATTAAGGAAGAACTTCAGCTCCACGGAGATTACATAACAGAAAAAAAATAGATTATTCTATACAAGACTAACAGTCTTGCTGTTTTGCCCAACTATCTGACCAACTAGACAATTTCGGGAGGAAACATTGTATAACATGGTAAATATTGATGATGTTCCTGAACATGATTGAACTAAATTAAACTAGAACTTTTTATTTTTAACATCCGAATTCCAGGTAACATAAAAAGATGAAAATCGTAACATGCAAGAGGGTAGGTTGTCATGCTGGTTTGTACGCCTAAACTATTTTTTTTCACGGCAGGAGATGTGCCTGTTCACGTCAAACATAGACTCGTTAATGTTTTTATAATGAAGTTCAGGAATTTAACAATTTAACTTACAACAGTTGAAAAATCAATTTTTAAGTAGAATAAACCAAAAAGAAAAAATCCACAACTCTCCCGCATAAAGTTGTTAAGTAATAGCACCACAATGAACGTGTTGATCCAGTCAATATTATGTGACGGTATTTATTTGAAAATATATTAACTGGAACATTGGTATAAAGTAGGGTAGCAGAACTAAGCTTGCTAAAGAAGAATAAGAAATTTATGATAGTCCGTGGTGTAGATACCCTTTTATCAAATTATTAACATCCGCCTGAAACTTCTTAAATAGCTACATCTGGACGTAAGTTACAAATATTTTTTTGTTTTTCGAAAATTCAGCGGAATTGGACCGTATTCTATCTGGAGATCGTCAAACCTTTTTTGTTTAAATAGGTACTAAAAATTCGTAAATACCCTCTCGCTTTCCGCTTGAATTGTAAGATAATTTGAGCAAAAACACGAGAAAAAAAGTTGGCCTTAAAAAATATTGAACTGTTTAGGGTGACCTACATCCCCAAAATAACGAGGTTGTATAGACTAAACGGCCCAATATTTTTGTAGGCCACCTTTTTTTTTCGATTTTGCCACCAACTCATTTTATGATCAAGAGGAAAGCAAATGGGCATATACGAGTTTTTGGTACCTAATTAAACAGATAAACTTGGCCGATCTCCTGGTTGAAAACCATGACCTAGTTGGCTGTAGGTTGCCATGACATGAAGCTATTCACGGAATTTCAGGCGGATGTTAATAATTTCATAAAAAAGGGGTCCATACCACGGACTCTAATATTTAAAATAAAAATTCGTTTTTCTTTGAATAATTAATTACCCTGACACCATTACAATGATAAAGAATAAAATAGCTATGTTGATTAGGATCACAAATATTTGGTGAAGGTCATGATCGCTTATAAGAGTCACCAATCAATATAACCTATTTACATGGGTTGGAATATAATCAACTCGTTATTAGATTTAACAAATACAATTTTTTTTTTTTCAGTACTGCATCATTTATTTACAATTTACAATATATATATATTGCTAAAAATAATATATATATTCTTGGAATAGATCACTATAACTGCTTGAAGGCATTCTAAGGATATAAGCTGGATTGTATAGTACAAAATCTTACTGTGGCACAATAAACAAATGAATGATTTTTACAAATACTTTATAACTTTTAGTACTTAAATTTTGCCGAGTCTTATAGGAAAAGAAAATTTAATTATATTTCATTGAAATATTTCTAATATTTAAAAATACGAATGAGGCTCTTAAACGTTCACTGGAAAAATATAGCATGAACCTTTTTTACATATAACACAAGCAGCAATAGGATATCCGTAATATATCAGATGATTTATTGAAAAATTCCGAGTAATTTATTTAATGGTAATACAAAGAATAAAAAAAAATTGTATAAATACTGTCAATAACAAGAGCATATGAAGAATATCAATTTATTGTTCGCGAATATAGTAACTTCTTGGAACAGTGGTTCGAAGAAATGATTTGAAAGTGATTCATCAACGATATTTTCCAAAGAGTTTATTTTCCATGTGAGTGAGGCTATTAATTTTTTTTTTCGTAGCAAAATATTCTGTACTGCATCCCCTTTAAATCACGTATCGACATGAATTCACAGAAGTGAAGGAGAATCTCATGAATTAATTTTATTTCATTAAATTGTAATTGGTTGAATTGAAGGTGTATGAAACAAACATAATTAATTTTTCCTTTTATTTTTGCCTTTAATTTTAAAATTTTACATTTTAAAAACTTGAACGAAGTCGAGTAGAAGTATCGAATGATGTGTTATTATAAAACCAACCTAAAATCCTCAGTGATTTACAAAATAAAGTATTATAATTGCAATGGAAATGGAATATATGTAATATTTAACATTTCTAAGAATCAAATGACAAAGTAATTACTGATATACAATGGAGTGTAAGGATTGAATAAGAAGTCAATAGCAAAAAAAAAGCATAAAAAATAAGATGTGTTTCTGGTTGTGTTAAAGAATGATTTGATTTTCCAGCGTTACGAAGAGTGGTGGGGGCAGATCTAAAAGATAAAAGATAACGCTTAAGCCTCGAGAGCGCCTGGTTGGCTCGCTCCACTTCATTGGCAGTCACGTATACAGCACCACCACATGCACGGAGGGTCCTCCAGGTGACAAAAGATATAAGCTGGCATAAAGACGGTAAGCTATTTTTTGCACAATCATTATAACCTACCAATCCATTAAGATACAGCCCACAGCTTAAAATTAGAATGTTGTCTTAAAATTTTGAATGTTGCCTTATTGATACTCATGAGAGTTATTTGCCATAGTTGGAAAAGTGGCTTAAACAGTTTCCTTTCTTTTATATCACGTATTACGAAAAATAAAACAACGAACTGGACATAATTCTTGACATCATCCTGGTTCGTAAAAATTCTAAGGTCGGTTAAAAATTTATTGATGAAACGACGGATTTGAAAAAATTTCTTGATGATATTAAACTTTATTAATAAAAGTTTAATCTATAACAAAAAAAAGCTGAAACGGACTACAAAACCCATAGAGAAAATAAAAAAGAAAATAAAACTAATCTAATTTCAGATACAGAGAATGTCTATCTAATTATTAAATATTAACAATTTGAACTTTTTCTTGATAAATGCGTTGTTTTACTCACTGTCATGGTTCAAATGCTGCTCGCAAATATCGGATAATTATAAAACTAAATAAATAAACTCAACAAAACATCTATTCTATTTGTATACATTACCTGAGGGAGACGGGGTTGTTTTCGAAATCGTATTTGAACAGTACATTATTTACCCAGCAGTCACCATGGTTGAGAACATTGAACTTGTCGTGTTCAATTGCAAAGTTTTTGACCAGATCTCGTATCAAGGTTTCGGTGACTTTCCTTAAAGCTTTGCCGTATACCTTCCTTTAACAAATAAACAAATTTTGTACTCGATCAGAACTTTAAGAGTAATTAATAATATTAATATAACACAAGCAGTATCAACTTAAGCATTTTAAAAAGTAATGAGATAAATATTCAAGAAATTGCCAGTGGGTTAGGGTGATTTAAATTCCTATGCGTTTCTTTCTTCGTTTCTTATAATGCATTTGATGATTTGGTTTACTCTTTCGCCAACATCCACTCTTCTTGCAGTCCCCACTTTTCTCCCAACTCCCAATCTTCTCCCAACCCCCACTCTTCTCCTAACTCCCCATTCTTCTCCCAATCTCCTCTCTTTTCTCACCCTCCCCTCTTCTCTCAGCCCTAACTCTCCTTCCAACCCCAACTCTTCTCCTAAACCATATTCTTCCTTAGCTCGGCCTTCATCTGCCGGTCAATGAAAAATTCTAAAAATAAATCAACGTTCATAACTTCTAATTTATACTACATAACATACACAGTGGATATATACAAATTCTTCTTCGTAATATATGCAATTACTATGCATTAATTACTAGCTGTTGGTTTATTATCTCGAAGATGCCTGCATGCTGTTGAACAAGTGATTAATTTTTAACTTGATGCTTTTGTTTTGGTGTATTTTAAAAATATGTAATTACCTAAATATTATATATAGTGTTTTAGGGAAAAAAACATTAAAATTAAAATTAAAGTATGTGATTCTCACCATTCCTCGTCCCATTTCGTTTCAATGGATTGAATAAGCTCTTCAAAGGACATCAGGTAAAATTTTTCCATCATTTCGATGTTGGTTTCTAAAAAGTTCTTGCTAAAGTCTGAAATGATTAGGTCTCCTCTTTCCCTGTAAATTAAATTAACTTGTCATAAAGTTTTGTAGTGTTATAATACTGTAATGAAAATTGACTAGAAAGTGGTTTTGATTTTAAACTACAGAAATAAAATAAATGTAATGAAATTTTAATCATATTAAAAACATATTTCATAAAGTTTTTTTTTTAGCACTTGAACAGTAGGACAACATACATTTTAATAAATTGGAATAGGAACATCAGATTCAAAATGAAAATATCATCAATCTATTAATATATTAAATAACTTAATTAGAGGAAATACTCTAAAAAAAAACATCTTTACTGGAAGCGTCTTTTTTTTTTTGTTGTAATTTATTATATATATGAATTCGTTTAATTCAATGAGCATTATGTTTTTAATATATTACAAACACACACACACGCACATAAAAGAAAATCGATTGATATATTATAATAAACCATGCAGAGGAAAGACAGAAAATAATAATATGAAAATATGTTGAAACTTTGTAATATTTTTTTTTATCGGCTCCTAGGACGCATTTTTGTAACCCTCAGACACATGTCAAATGTGTTTCGACTTAAGTTAATAAAAAACTTCATTGAAATTGGTGTCCCCACGTCAGCAGTCTCTCCCCACTTATTAGTATTTTTTTTTTTTAATAAGGTCTTGATTGTTTTTGGAAATAGGAAAAGTTGTAAGGGGCGGTATCATATGCCATGGCTGTCGGGAAGAAAGGAATACTGAAATAAATTGTATCGCCACCAATCGATATTAGTAAATTTCATAGAACTAAAGGTAAACATCAAAACCTTCCCTTGCTAATCGCCGATTTCACAGGAGACTGACTGAACAAATAGCCCTAGGGTTCAGGGAACTAGAGCAGATCCTTCTCGGCGATCTAAGCATCAAGGTAAGATAAGTCTAGTATTAGCCGTTAAGTTAAAACTATCAACTAACAGTCTACAATTATAATTTATAACATGTTTAAGTTACAAGAGTTTTTCAATTTTCGGAATCACCTGTGTATTTTTAAGTGAAAATAAATCACTATAGAAAGTATAATTTTTAAAGTATTTGATACAACCAGGTGCTACTAAATATTTTAAAGAATAAGTTCTGACTACTTAGTCGTAGGCTGATGATTTATTTTATGCGGTCCGTAATTTTTTTTTTTTTAACTGATAAAAGTTATATAGGGTCATAAGTATTTTCTTTATTTTTATTCATATTTAGTTACATCAAGAATTAAGTTTTCAAGAGCACTTAATGCACTTATATGTAGTGTCTTCAGAGATCGATAAGCACTTATAATTTTACTATTTATTTAAATTATAACAACGTTTCGAGCTCATATTCAGGTTATCTATAACAAGTCACAAAAACATTGCTAATAATAATAATGATCAATGATTCTGTATCTCGAAGATAAACAACACCATTTCAATTTTTATTTGTTCAGGGGATTCAATGTTCCATAATTTTGAGCTATTAACCTTTGTTTCTTTCTTTAATTGTTGCTTGATATTACAGGATTGAAATTTAACTTTACAAAAAAAGACATTGTCTTCCTGTATATTCAATTTATTTTTCTCTTTTTGCGCAAAAGTTTCCGTCTTTTATCAGACCTTCATTAGGCTAGGTAAAATAAAAATAATAAAATTAACAACAAAAATAAAACTAATTTAATGAGTAACAATTTAAAATCACATCTTAATAAATTAATCAATAAAAATGGTAATCACTCAACTCATAGTGGTCCTCCTCTCCTGCTTGTCGAATGGGGACTAAAAATAATAAAAATAAACAATTGACCTGATGGGCTATCCCTACCCCTACGTATTGTTTTCATTTGCCGCCACTAATTTTATGAGTGCAGAATCCTCAAATTGAGTACTTTTTACATTCAGGCATATTGCACCATTCTTCAAAATCCTCTTCTTAATTTACAATTTTTAAGTCCATTCTTTCCCTTTCCCTTTTGAAATGTTACTTTTTTGCGAGTGTGAACAATTTAAAAAATGGTCTTTAAAATGTGATGCATGGCCTGAACTAGAGAGGTGTTCTTATATTTTGTTTTTTAGTTTCCTTCCCGCCTGTCCGATATAAACGGCAGAACATGAACATTATCGAGTAGACCCCATTCTTATTTAAAGGATCAACTCGATCTTTAGTCCTGGAGACCATGTTTTTTAAAAGGCTGAAACGCGCAAAAAGAGAAAATTAAATGGAATATACTGGAAGACAACGAAAAAATTATCCTTGTTTCTTTGTTATTAAGTCATTTATTTTAGGTATATTGCCTGAAAATATTCTCTTCCGTATACATGTTAATATATTCTCTCCACCGTTTCGGACTCTTTGTCCATCTTCAGAGACTATTCACTTATTGATGTTTTTCCTTCGTTCCCTGTATGCTATTAACATTTGTCTTTTTCTTTCTATTTAACAGTTTTTTCTGCACATTTTCAGATTTTCATTATCACATGCTAGTTATTTAAGTGGACTTGGAAAGTTAAGGTTTATTATATGATTTTAAATAATGCTATCCCAAAGTAGCTGTGTTTTCAATAAAAATAACCATGATAAACCATGAATAATTACAAATCTTTAATTTTTTTTTCTATTTAGGAAATAATATTTCCTTCCTTTAATTTCCAAATGTTTTAATACTGCAATCCGAAAGCAGCTTTCATTATCAAAAAGACGTTAGAACGTATAATGGTTTTTGGCCAACTTAGATTAGCATTAACTATGCTGATATTAAAAACAACGCAAATTATTTCACAATATTTTGTCATTTCTAAATAATAACATATCAAATGCCTGTGCCCTGTCACAGTACATTTCTTACCACTGCTCATAAAAATTGCCTTCTGAAGACAATGTACTACATTCAATTTTTATTTTTAAAAAAAATAGAAAACCAAACTATTCTGACTAACGTTTTAAGAAAATAACGCCGTTGTTATTGCCGTTGTTATGTTACCGTTGTTGTTGAAGTGATAATGAAGTCAATGGCTGACCACAGTTTCATTCATTTAGAAAGAATTATATATTATTAATTATGGTATTGTTACATAAAAACTGATGTATAGATATATACAGATGTAAAAACTTATATAGGAAATAGAAAGATTTATTCTGAGATTGAAGATTCATTTTAACTATATCAACATAAAATATAAAATAAAAAAATAAACACACATTAAAACAGCAAAAATTCAAAACACCATATCCTCTGCATTTATAAGTAATGTTGCCCAAATGCGAGACCGGGACGAGTCTTTGTCTTGCAAACTTAGTCTTGGTCATGGTCTTGGTCTTGCGCAAGAGTCTCGCAACATTCTTGCTGTTACTTATTAGCTTATTAATATAGAGATTACTGTAATCTTTTAGATAGGAGAAACCTAACTAAGCCCGAATGAAAAGTAATGCAAAACTATATTGGTTATACCAATTATTAACATTTAGTAACTAAGATTATCGAGTATTAGTCATTGTTTGGCCTTAATTTCTATTTAAAAAAATGATTTTTTAATTTTAATTCTGGTCTTGGTCTTGCAACAGTTAAGCGGCCTTGGTGTTGGCCTTGCAAAGTGCAAGACAAAGACTGATTTTGGGCAACACTACTTATTAGTCTAGTTTTCATGATCTTCTTCTTTCTTTTAGATACCACATAAAACAAAAAAGAAAAGAACTTAATCAGCGATTATGGACTTCTTTCTAGGCTACTTGATAGACGTTCTAAATTATCTGTGACTAATAAATTAACTATTTACAAAGTCCTCATTAAACCACTATGGACATATGGGATCGAACTATGGGAAACAGCAAAGAAATCAAATATAAAAATTATTCAGACATTCCAGTCAAAAGTCCTTCGGAAAATTGTAGACGCACCCTTTTATGTTTCAAACCCCACGTTACACACTGACCTTAACACTCCTTTCATCGCAGCAACTGCCACTGGTCGCTTTAATAATTTTCATGACAGACTGACTCTAAATTCCAATCCACTTACTCAAGCTCTATCTACTGCCACAAATCCATATAATCCGCCCAGAAGACTGCTGAGGCACTGGCCAAGAGACTTATTGCATTGAGCTACTTGCTGCATTATCTTTTTTGTGTGTGTATTTGTTATTATGTTATAATGTACGGTTTCTTTTTTTTTTATTTTCTTTTTGTTTTGTTATTCTTCTTCTTGATATCATATTTGCTGAATACCGATGTAGATGTCATTTATTGTGAGCCACAAATATGAAGTAATAGATAACTTTATTATCTTTCAAATAAGACGTTATGACCCAACACAAGGTGTATAATTAATTTTTTTAGTAATTCGCTAATAAAATGCTGCGTTATTCATTTTTATTTTGTGATTTATTTTCGGGAAAGTACGTTATATATTTAAAATTTACAGAAATTATTGCAGTCGCTTCGGTATTGCCGTCAGTAGCTGCTCAATTTTTTTCGGTACCGGTCGGTTGGTAATATCGTGTTTTGATGATCGTCCTTTGGTGATCTCTGACTTTGATACCAATTTTCAGTAGAATCAGTCCAATAGTTTCAGAGGAAAGCCGAATAGTAGTGGTACAGACCCCTTTTTATCGAATTATCAACATCCGCCTAAAACTTCATAAATGGTTTCATCTCATCTTAATCTACAAATATTTTATTTACGAAAACTCTTGCAATTGGGAAGTTTTCAACCTGGAGGAGAGCAAATATCGTCAATTTAATTAGGTACTAAAAAGTCGTAAATACACATTTGCTTCCTTCTTGGATCGTAAGATAATTTGATCAAAAAATATATAAAAAAAGGTGACCAACAAAAATATTAACAAACTTTGTCTATTTAATTAGATACTAAAATTTAAAAATAACGAGGTTATATAGGAGAAACGGCCCAATATTTTTGTAGGTCACCTTTTTTTATATATTTTTTGATCAAATTATCTTACGATCCAAGAAGGAAGCAAATGTGTATTTACGAGTTTTTAGTACCTAATTAAATTGACGATGTTTACTCCCCTCCAAATTGAATACGCCCCAATTCCAAAAGTTTTCGTAAATAAAATAGTTGTAGGTTACGATGAGATAAACTATTACGTTTCAGGCGGATGTTGATAATTCGATAAAAAGGGGTCTGTACCACTACTATTCGGCTTTCCTCTGAAACTATTGGACTGATTCTACTGAAAATTGGTATCAAAGTCAGAGATCTAATTTTTTTTTCATTAGATTTCGGATTTTACATATCATGGAACGTAAATCTTTAAATATTGAGGTGGGAGGATTAACTTTTTGTTTTTATTGCTTCATAACAAAAGATCATTATTGAAAATAATAAACCATCAGAACTATGCCAATATTTTTGGCATATGTTTGAAATCGGTTCCCGAATTCTTGTCTCTTAAAATATTTATACCCAGTATGTTTATTTCAGTGTTGCCCAAAATCGGTCTTGGTCTTGCAGTTTGCAAGGCCACGGCAGCCTAACTGTTGCAAGACCAAGACCAGAACTGGTAAAAAAAAATCGTTTTTAAAAATAAAAATTAAGGCAAAATAGTTACTAATACTTGACAATCTTAGTTGCTATTTGTTAATAATTGATATAACCAATATATTTTTGCATTTAATTCCTCTAATTCTTCATTCGGGCTTAGTTAAATTTTTATATAAAACATTACAGTAATATCTCTATAATAATAAGCTAATAAATAACTGCAAGACTCGGTGTCGCATATGGGCAACACTAGTTTATTTATTTATAAATGTTTTGGGCTCTTCAACCACCAAGGCCATAAACTCAAAACCTCAAACGTGTCTTGTTTGAGGTTTTGAGTTCGATTTTTTTATTTTTATTTTTTTATATTTTTTTTTATATTTGACTTTCTTGTTTAACTTAAGTTGATTTTGTACATATAAGAGATTTTGTATAATTTTATCCATTGTTTTTTCATTGTATGCACAAATAAAGGTTATTATTATTATTTTATTGATTGCACCATGTTTCTTTTCATTCTGTGAACTGAAAGGACCATATGCCTTTACAAGGGATGTCATCGGGCTACGGCCTTCGACATAGTATGCATTCTTATCTCCGGAACGCGGAAAAAATGTCCATGTGACATGTAAGGCACAACGGAATTTCATTTTATCCTCTTTTTCTGCTTGTCTCCTACTGGTTGGATGAACTCCACGATGAAGCGACTTATTTACTTTCCATACTTCCATACTATTTTTACTTCGTGAAAATGGTATAAAATAAAAGTTATAACTACATGAATTGAAATAATTAGATTAAATAAATATTTACTATGCCCTTATAGAAGTGGCTTGAGGAATATAGATGTACATTAGTTACATATAAGTCAATAGTTACTATAAAATTATGGAGGATAAAAGAAAAAATGCATTATAAATTATATTTGACTAATTATATAAAAAATCTAAAATAAAATATTTTTAATATCACAATATAAGGAATGTGCATAAATATTGCATAAATAAATAGTGCATAAAGAGCTGAAATATATGTGCTTTATAAATTACAATTTGAATACAAACTTTTAAGACTGTTTAATAATGTGAGATTTACAAAAAAAAAAAAAAAACGCTGCAAATTACACAATTTCACAATGGGTTATTATTTCCAAACAATTAAACATCTAAAGTAACATTACCTTCCTAGTTTTAGAGAAAAATAAATAAAAGATAATTTCAATTATTGGACTAAACTTTTTTTTTTATCATTAATAATATGCTAAAAAAAATAGCATTACTTCAGTAACACATTCATCATTTAAAAACCAAAACAAAGGATATAAAATTTGCTGTAGAACATATACAAAAAAAACAGAGACCATATCTTTGCTCCTAATTGTCCAATTTTTTATTTTATTTTAGGGTATTCCGTAAACTTTTAAAAAAACCATAACAATATCCACAAAAAAGTGTATACTTTTTGAGTTATTCGGAATTTAATTTTACCATCCCTCGTACCTTTTTCGTTGAAGTATGTTATATAGATAAATTTAAAGGGCATCTAGAAAATGACTTTAGGGAGTTTTCATTGAAATCGGTACATTCGTTTAGGCGTTACAGTCAATGCAGGTTTTTCGGCCGCCATTTTGATAGTAAAGGCGGATAACTTAATGTCGATGAAGGAGGATCATCCTCAAGTGACATCTGATTTTATATCCAAATTTAAAAAAAAAAATCGGTCCAGTAGTTTCGAAGAAAATGCATACACGGTGGACGAACAAAAAAATTGTTATTCGTTTTTTTGAATTCTATGTATTCTGAAACGCGAAACCTCAAATTTTGAGTCGGGGTTAAGTTTTTGTATTTTTTGGTCGATTAGAATGGTTCATTATTGAAAATAATAAACCAAAATGTGCTCTAAAATATATCACATCATACAACTTTCACACACCACCTTACTTTGAGTAGAAATAGGTATTTTCATATATAGAGAAGTGAAAGTCAAAATCACAGACGGAACAATATATTATTTATAACAATTAATTATTATGGGTTTTCTTAGCCGTCAGCTATTAAACTATTACGTGTTTTGTCTCTAATTGTTTCCTTCTGCGACTATATATTTTAATTATTTATTTAATTATAATAAATGGTTGAATTCCACTAAATATTTTTATTCCAATTAGACTGCTAGTGATAAAGACGGTCGTTATATTTATTTATTTTATATATGTTCAAGCTCTAGTTCGTAAAAAAACTGTTATCTTTTTATATTACTGTAATCTATACATAAAAGAAAAGAAATAATACCAGTGCTAGCAAATATGAAAATCGCAAATGAATATGAATATAGTATTATCAGAACCCACATGTCCCTTATCTATAATTTATGCATCACATTTAAGCACGTTTTACGTTTGGAAGTCTATCGTAACATTTCAACCAATGACAAATGCGCTCTCGGGGGTTTTCTGTTGCATATTACCATCCTTTATTTATCCTTGAGCCAATCATAAAATTTTTAAATAGTATATTAATCATTTTCATTGCTTGTACAATGATATTTATGGTTTATATTATCAAATGGTAATTTATTTCAAATAAGCTACATCAAACATACTTTAGAGGAAGAAAATTCGGCATTAAATCCATGCCAGACCATTTCAATGAGAATATTCGCAGCCTAAAATAAAAAAAAAGAAGTTTATCTTTCACTGATGAAATGAATTAAATCATAATCGTTAGAGCTGTTGAGAAAATTGTAAAAAATTGTATAATCGATTATATAAAGCGCCCTTTCCAGTTCACCAATTTTGATGAAAACGTTGCGGCAACATCGCATTTATACACATAACTTAAATAAGTAATATCAGTTTCATACGAATATACCTTCTTGAGCTTGGCTGTTTACACTGACATACATAGAACATTTTGCGAAACTTGATCATTTGGACGATGCATCTTTCATATGAGCAGTGACAAGACGGGAAATTATATTATTATTACAATTTATAAATATTTTTATATGAAATACAATGTCTATAATATCAGTTTCACGAATTTCAGGCAAATCTTTTGTATTATATTATGTTTTTTTTTTCAAAATATATATTATCTTATGATTGACTTTAGTAAATTTAATCACTGTTTTCTCAAAGAAAATTTTGTCTACTATAGGATGGTTTTGTTACAATTAAATTATCTTGACTACTTTTTGAGCAATTCCTTCTCATTCAATAAAAACGTGCATACCTTAAGAAAAACACAAAATTGGTCCCTCTTTTTTTTTTGGAAATTTTGTCAAGAATCACTCCTCTTCTCTCCCACAGTTTGACCATTATGAATTGAGACACTGCATACTATCTATATTTCTTATTAATACAAATGCAAACATACTGATATCTAGTTATCTATAACATCTGTATCTATAGTTTTATCTGTTTACATTTGCATATCCTTTGTATTCATTTTAAGCTAAAATAACTCTGTCATTTAGTTATTTCTTCGCTTATGCCAGATAAATGGACGCTTCTATTGTTCATTATCATTTTTCTCGTGGGACTAAATATGTCTGGAGAAAACTTACTTTTCTTCTTTTTCTTTCTCTCAAAATTTACTAAAACTTTTTTTATTAATAGTTGAATAATAATGAATAGCAATTGAATCTTTCTGGGATGGATAATTTTTAAATACAACATAGAATTACACAAAAACTAGAAAAGAAGACATTTACTGACCTGTGGATAACAGACAAAGCGTGGTACTTTCCCAAAGCTCGCATTACAAGAGAACAATGCTTGAAGTCCAGTCCTTCTTTCCTTTGACCCATCTTGTAGCCCAACACCTAAAGTTAAAGTTAATTATTGTGCTTTATCTATAATAATAGTAAACTATATATGTATTTTCAATTAATTCTGGAAAAAATATTTCATTACAATATATAAAATGGAAGTAGCATTTAATATAAGATCCTACAGTTATATATTGTGAAAACATTTTTTTTTTTCAACGATTGATTCAAAGTAATTTTGAATACAATAATAGCTAGAAATAAATAAAAAAAAATTTTTAAATAATATATTTTTGATAGCTATCTACTTGACTAAACATTCTAATTCTAATTTTGTAGTAAACCATTTCAATATCACACCAATCTGATTAGTTTTTATGATAATAATTAAACTGATTGGTCCATGTTAATATTTCGCGAAATACTTTATTTAGTAAAGGAATAGCAAAAAAATATGGAAATAAGTAGATCCTATGTGATAAGTGAGGGAGGAATTAATTGTGTTTTGCTTGGATTGCAATATTCCATTTAACATAAAAGACCAAAATATGTGTTCAAATTACTTTTTTAGGGCCTATTTTAAGGCTGAGGGGAAAGGTAATATTCAAAATAAAGCCTCGATCATTAGATTTTTTAAATTATTAAAAAAAATAAAATGTACCAACAAGAAAAGGCTTTAAGAAATAATAAACCATATAACAGCCAGAAAATAAAGGGTAGAAAAGTAAATGCAGTAGATTTTTTTTTGTATTGTTGGGAATTTAGCAAAAAAAAAAAAAAAAAAGAAGAAAACTAACAGGTTTTAAATTTTTAGCTCCAGTTGTTATATATCTCATGTAAAAGTACTTATCTTCCGAAGATTTGATCGATTTGTTTTCTCAATTACCCCACTCTACCCCACCATTTTTGGCATATGGAGAGTTGTTCGAAAGGTTCAACTATACCTAGTCTTACCAGAATGGAAAGGTTGAGATTCATGACGTGAGTCTGCGACGAAATAAATTTCAACTCGCATCGGCCGGATTCGAATCGGCGACGCTAGACTCGAGAATATTAAAGTTTAAGCTTTGACACGCTCGGGGCATTCACGACCTTGTCCGACCGAAACAAACATATTTAAGTATTAAAATAGAAAAATATATTTAATTAGTCATTTATATAAAGTAAGCAATTTATCTAAAGATAATTTAATTTCCCAATATGGATGGTTCGTAATTAAAAATTGACTATTTGATGAATATAATATTGATAATGTTAACAAAAATTAATGCCTTATATAAACAAACAGGTACTGTGGATCACTAATTTTTTAAGTGAAGAAATATTTTTTCTTTTATTTGACTCCATCTATCTGTGTCATATAACGATTCGATTAATTTATTTTTTTAACTAAGAAACCATTAAGGCTTCAAGAAATTCTTTTTTCTTCAACTATTACTTCATTTATAAAGGAGGCAAATTAATTGTTTTCACTATATGATAATCAAAAGTTTAAAGATAAGATGTTGACATTTCTAACTGGTTAAAGTTGAATGTATTTATTTGTTTATAATTATTGATGTTACTGTTAATAAAAATAAAACAAGAACTTACAGATAAGTCCTCTAAAAGGAGGCTTTCATAGTTACTCAGGGCGTAAGATTCTCCCCAGTATGGTTCTCCGACTTCCTTTTCTCGCCTGATTCTTTCCAGCTCCGGTAACACGTCTTGGTACATCTGCCAAGAAATTCAATAAGTATTTTGTATTTTTTAGTTGTTAAATATATTTATTATATTATATATTTGATAATAAATATATTCAGTTGTAAATAATATATTGATAAACAGTTTTATTATCATTAGCACAAATAAATTTGTTTGAATTTATTATTAGTTAATATTTCACTAAATGTTTAATGTCTTAATTATATATATATATATATATTATTTTTTTTATTATTAACAAATGAGTACAAAAATAGACACCATTTTCACGATATATAATTGAGGTTTCAATCCTAGACCGTATATAATATTCATCATCTTAACAAAATACATTAATTCTTAAAGGTACCTAAAATCAGATAAAGCCAGAGTACAACTATTATATTTTTATAGACACATATGACATAGCTAATTTTGCTTCCTCACTACCTAAGGTAGAGAAGCGTATTTGTGCGAGAGATTAAAAAAAAAATTATGTTAAGAATCTAAAATTTCCACTCGCGTTTCACGTTTCAGACATTAAGGATCAAATTTGGTTTGGTGTCTGTCTGTAGTCAAATTGATGTAACGGGCACATTAACTGCTACCGTTTATCCTATTAAGGAATTGTGGGAGTTGGCGTCTAGATGGTCCCATATCAATTCTATATTATATTCTAACCAGCACTTCCGCTTACGCACGCGCAAACGCATTTTGGTAGATATGCCAATATTTCCGAAAGGACTAGTTCGATTTGGCTCAAACTTGGATAAAAGATAGGTATTTGTAAAAAAGTAATGAAGGGTCAATTTTATTGAATTATATCCATTACTTTCTCTTATAAATACGCAAACGTATTTTCCTTGATACGTCTACATCTCTATAACCGCAAGTTCGATTTGGCTTAAATTTAGGGATGGAGGGAATTTAGGGGTTGGTGAACGTAAAATTTAATAGGCATAAATTTTATCAAATTCTATCTAATACTCCAAAAAAATATACTTCCGCTTTCAAATTAGGAAATTTTTTATTTGATATGCATATAGTCTGAAAACGGCGCATTCGATTTCACCCAAACTTGGAAGAAATTAGAACAGTATAGAAATTACTTAGTATCAATTTCGTTGAATTCCTTTTAATAATTAAAATTCATATAAATAATTGTTAACAATATAATCTCTGTGAATAGAAGGCACTGATCATATGGAGTGAGAGTTAGGTTATTACAATATTGTTATTGGGTTATAAAATTTTATATTTTGTTCAAAAAATTAATTTATACTGTATTTTTTGGTTGATTCCAAACACTACTGGCATGACACTCACTGCCGTTAATTAGATTTAGAGTAATTTTCAGTAAATTTAAAGTAATTTTTACTCCGAATTAGTAAAAAAAAAAAAAACCTTACTTATTTGTGATTGTGTTTATTTCCATTGAAGTTCAACCAGCTCATCGTAGTATAGATTTTCTTCTTAAATATCAAAATTTTCTCAACTTTACTCGTATTTTTATGTTCCATCTTAATTAGTTATGTTCTGACTGAAGGAAAGTATTGGTCTCATTGACTCCGAACAAACAAAATGTTGAATTCTTCCTATGGATTTTTTGTTTCATCCATTTTACGAGTGAAAACATATCTATATAATATATATCACTACTGTTAGTGTAGTGGCCGTATGTAAACGTTTTCAATTTTTATTCTATTTTTGACATTATGTAGTCTGCAATTAATATAAGTAATCTACTATTGTGAAAAATAGCAGAAAATAATAAAATATACTTATATATAAATCATAAGGATATATAAATCATACTTATAAATCATACAGAAATAAATAGTTTTTATGCTCTCCTGTAAAACACTCAATTTTTAAATACGTCATTTGTACTAACAGTAGCGAGATACATAGGCACTGGAATTTTTTTTTAATTACTAGTTATCAAATATGCAATCTGCAAATGCCGAACGTTTTCGCATTTTAATGTTTGCTGATAAACAAAACTTGTGGATCAAGCCCGTTATATGTGAGGGACTACTGAATTTCCGAAAACGGCTTGTTCCAGAGATTTTATTCATATAAGAAAATTTTTAGACCTTTTAATATAGATATTTTTTAGCAAATGAAAACGGTGTAGAAGCTATACTGAACTTACTTGTCAGACGTTTTTTAGGTAGGGAAGAACAAGAAAAAAAAAAAAAAAAAAGTCTAGGGATGGGTTGCCGAATGATAGTAACATATTAACATGCAATGACATATTAAGTCATTACAATAACGATTGTAAATATAAATTGTATCTAATTATGATAAATAGCAATTATAATTATATCTATGAATTTTCAATAGTTATGAAGCAATTGTCACACTTGAATTACTGTAACCACAATTAACCCTAGTTTTGCCGTTACAGTACAGTAGGTCTCTTAGTTAAGTTTCTATTACAAATACTAATGATTGTTCCCTCAATGGCTTTCTGTTACATATTATTATTGGCAATAATTATAAAATCATCGGAATGCTAAATTGTTTTAAAGTTATAAGAAATAAGAGACCCTCATTAGGAACAAAAAGAAATCTAGTATCATTACTTCTGAGTTATTAACTCAGAAATTAAAAAAAAAAAAAAGAAGTTGTGTATGCCTTTTGGGAATTAAAGTTATTAATTGAGTTGGCCATTATGAATTTCAAAATAAAAAGATATACTTGTATATTGAATTATAAGGGTTGATTCATACAAATTGTAACTTTAATAACAGATCTGAACAAATAATATTTTAATTTTTATTTTAAAATACAGTATTTAAAATACCAAGTATTTGGTGGTTTAAAATATGGTATATTTGTATTAAAAAGTATTTAAATTATTTTGAGAATAAAGTATTTCAAATATAAAATACCATAAGTATTTTGTATTTTATTAAAATATATATATATATATATATATATATATATATATATATTTTATAATATATATTTAATATTATACATATATATATAAATATATATATATATATATATATATATATATTATATATATATATATATATATATATATATATATATATATATATATATATATATATATATATATATATATATAGTACAAAATACATATGTCTCATGAAGTGGCGCTTTATGTTATGTTATTATAGTCTATTTTACAACAATTTATGATAAATGTGATGCTTGGCCCAATTATTTCATTTTAAATATTTTCTAAGGTATTACATGAATCGAATCGTTCCTTTTTCTTTGCTATTTTGTAAAACTATTACTAAAGAAAAATAGATAAAAAAAAAAAAACATTTATTTTTTCCAAGCAATCCTTTACAACGATAAGAAACTGGAGTCCTTAATAATTTTTTAAGGCTAATCAATTGTATACCCAAAGATAGTTGTATTTTAAATTTAATACGATCCACAAATTCTAGCTGGATTATCACAGAAAACAATTCTCTCAATTCGATAATTTATTTTATTTATTTATTTATTTGATGTTTTGTTGCCTCTATCCTGTAGCGTCATTGGCAACGCCTTTAAATTACACTCTGTTGTAGAGTTTTATTTCTTTTAAAAACCTTAAAGTTTTTTTGACTGCACTTTCACTGTCTTGTAAATTTTCTTTTAGATCCTGTGCCATGTTCAACTTTTTCCTAATAGGTTTAAAAGAAGAGCAGTCTTGAATAATATGCTTTACTGTCCTTTGTACATTGCAGCTCTCGCAGGTCGGAGTATCAAGTCCTCTTAGTCGGTAGGAGTGCGAGAACTCATAATGTTCAATTCGTAATCTGCAAAGGGCTGTCTCCTCTTTTCGAGAAGATCGGTGAGAAGTTTCCCATTTTAAACAGTGGGATTTAATTTCTTTTAATTTCAATTCTTTTTGTTCCAACTTGTTTTGCCACATGATAATTTATTTTGTGTATTTAAAATAGAAAATAAAATATTTCTTTTTTAATTTTAGTATCTTGGAAGGACAATATACTTTTTATTTTATATTTTATTTATTCAAATTCAAAATGTATTTTATTTTGTAATTTTAAATATTTCATTTCAAAAACTACAGATCAGGTGATTGATTGATAATATCAATGGATGGGGAATACAGAATGAACTGAGGCTGAAATTAAAAAAAAAAAACTCTGATCGTCATCGTCCGTTCCAGGCACCTCCTTAATCCTGTTCCTTACAAAGCCATATTTACTTCTACAATCAACTAATTCTTTACATCGGACTGTTAAAGACTTCGGAGTTACCTTCGATCAGCATGTCTTCCGCTATAAAATTATTAAAAAATTTAAACATCCTCTTGATATTATTATCAGTTCCAAAAAAAAAAAAAAAAAATAGATCATACAAAAGGCTGTTCTTAAGCAATTCTTAAGCTTTAAAAACTGAATTCCTCAAAATTACTGGCATCTAATAATATCCTCTTTTCCTTTCTCCAACTTTGACTATGGTCGCATGTATGTATGTATTGTATGTATTAAGAACTATCTGCTGACTAAAGATAAAAACGAAGAGACTTATGAATTCTCCACATGACTCGTCTTTGGATTTTCCAGATGCTCGGATGTATCCTGTTGTTATACGTATTTGAAGTGGCTTTATACTTTCTTTCCAGCACAATATTTCCAAGGTGTTTTTCCCTACCAGGCCCTTGGAACAAAAAAACCAAAAAAAAAACCCTTCTACATCCTAGAATTCCTCACACTAAGTCTCACTATTTACTGTTAAAACACTAGATCTCAACCTATTGATTTATGCATTCGCTCTTCTATAAAACTACTTTCTTGGGCAAATCTCTCATCATTCGTGCTACCACCTTCAGGTAAATCCATCTATATTCATCAATTCTCTTCCTCGTATCCTTTTAAAGAAAATCTATTCTTTAACCGACTTCATAATCAAACAATCCCACTAATGAAGGGAATATTAATTATATAAACATTTCTAATAGATATATTTAAAGTTACAACAACAAACAAAATACAATGTACCTATACATGAAATATTGTGCTTATTTTTAAGAGAAT